TTTAAATTTTTAAAAAATTACTCAAAGCAAATAATGCTTTCTAAACATTAGTATTAGTTTGCTAATACATCAAATTAAAATTAGGGAAGAAATTTACAAAGAATTAAAATGTCAGAAGTGTAAGTTTTAGTTCATCCTCAAGTTAAAAGTAACAGTAAGCTTCGAATCCACCAGACGCTTTGCCGGAGAAGGAGGCTCAATATCCTCCTGTACCAGTCAGATCCGGTACATGCAATAATAATAAAAAAAAATAAATAAAAATAAAAACAACAACAACAGTAAGCATGATACAAGGTGGTGAAATGTCAGCTCACAAAAGCCAAGCACAGTTAATCACAAGAAGCATCAGGTAGGCATTTCTATTCTCCATTGTACAGGAAGTTCAGTTCTTCTACAGACAATAGACTATTGAGGAAAAAATGAAAACGTTTTAAATGTGGACTATAAAACATAAGAACTTACCTTGAATTCAGCATCTTTACAGAACAGGCAAGGATCATGATCAATAAGTCTGGAGATTTTAGCATAATCAAGGAAACAGACTAACAGCAATAACTTTTTCAGTGTAAACTTGGACAAAGCTTCTTCGTGCCCTTAAATAAAGTACACAATAGTAATTTTATTCATGAAAGCCAAATTTCACCTTAAAGTAGGAATAATAATTGTTCACGCACAATAAAAAATATAATTGTAAACACAAATAAGATGATGCATCTATTTGTAGTGCTCTACACACATGAATTCATTTCTTGCTCATAAAAACTCTAAGGCACAGATACCATTAATATTTCCATGTCATAGAGACAAACAGGCACAGAGACATCAAGATATTTAGTTGGTCTCATCCAATAAGTATTTAATAATGAGTACTCATTACAGTCAAACACCATCTAGGTGTTGGATGAATACATAATAGTAAACTCAAACATATAAGATAGCCACCCTCATGGGATTGCAGATTAGTGGGTGGAGGAAGTGGTGACAGAAAAAACATGGGTGAAAACAATTACAAAATAGTCATGGGAAAATGATGACAAAAACAGAGATAAAGAAAGGACAGGTATTGGAAAGAGAGAAACCTGTATCTAGGTTTTTCTGAGAAGATGAAATTTAAATTGCAATGGGAAGAATGAAAAGAAGGTACTTATGCATAATGTGGCAAGAATGCAGTAGAGGCAAAAAAACATTACCATTTCTGTACAGATGAGGAACAGTTGGGTGTCTGTATTCAGCAGCTATATCAGGATTCCAAAGCAAACGATTCAGAATAAACATAGCCAATCCTGTGACATCACTGTTATCTTCCAAAGATATAAGTTCCCCAAAAACTGTCTGAAAAAAAAATGAGAACAAAAGTTAGGGCTATGTTTTCTCTAAGAAGCAGAGGGATATGGCTGGGAAAGGAAAACAGATGAAGATCCTCTAAAAAACTGAAATGTTCTGTTTCCTAAATAGTTTAGGGGTATCATAGTATATGATAGTATACTATCATAATATAGATAGTACCATGTGAAGAGCCACTTAATAAATTCTTTATACACACTGTACAAATTCTTTAGTGTTTATAGTATGTTTCCAAATTAAAAAAAAAAATCAAAATTTCAGAACTAAGGCAAACAAGAATGATCTGACAAATATTTTTATCTCTTTTTAAAAATATTTTTAATTTTTTAATATTGGTTTGCATACTAAAGTCAAACAGTGTTTCATTCATATACACTGATTTCATGCATTCCTCTATTCATATCATGTTTCATGTTATCATTCCTATACATTGTGTTTTATAAACTTAATCTCTATTGAGCCACTGCCCTCATTACCTTTTCAGTTCCACATGGACTTTTGTTGCTTCAGCCCCTCATTCTGTCCACCAAACTCTGGGAGCTTGAGATATCACCCCTCCCTGTCCTCAACTTCTCTTTCCCCTCCTCCCTTTGGACTGTGGTACACACCTTACTAGTAATCTTTCAGTTTTTCATTAATGTCTTAGGCAATGTTTGTCTTTATGAGTTAGTTCACTCAGTGTAATGCTCTCCAGCCTCTTCTATGTTATATAGTATTTTTCAAAATCATTGCTCCTGAGTGTTGCATTGTATTCCATGGTGTGTATATACCATAATTTTTAATTCATTTGTTTGTATATAAGAAGCACCCAAATTGGCAAAGAGGTATAAAACTGTCGCTAATGTACACAGAATATTCCAAGGACTGAAAAAAAAAATTATTATACCTAGTAGATCAATTCCTGGCTGCTGGTGCCAAGACTGTTGACTATGGAGCCAAGCAAACTAAAGCTGTGTACAATCTCAATCTCTTCACCATCCATCCTGATGCTGCCGATTGGTCCAGTGGTGAGAATCTTTGTCTTCTTGACATTGAGCCTCAATCCATATTGCAGGCTGCAGTCCTTGACACTCTGCAGCAGGTGCTTCAGGTCCTCCTCAGTTTCAGCAAGCAGGGTTGTGTCATCCGCATAACGCAGATTGTTGATAAATCGTCCACCAATCCTGACCCCACATTTCTCCTCATAGAGCCCAGCCTCCCGGATAATCTGTTCTGCATATAGGTTGAAGAGGTATGGAGATAGGATGCATCCCTGGCGTACCCCCTTCCCAATTTTGAACCATGCAGTGTTAGGGACCTCTCCAAAGTGCTGAAGAGCAGTGGTGTCTCTCTGGAGACTAAGGTGTGTCTGATACAGGCCATAGTCTTCGCAATCACCTGTTATGTATCAGAGAGTTGGACAATGACCAAGGAGGATAGAAGGAGAACTGATGCCTTTGAGCTGTGGTGCTGGAGAAGAGTACTGAGAATACCATGGACTGCTAGGAAAACAAATAGATTTGTCCTGGAGAGGGTTAAACCGGGTGGCTCCTTGGAGGCAAGGATTCTGAGGCTCCGTCTAACTTACTTCGGACATGTAGTGAGGAGAGACCGGTCCTTGGAGAGGGACATCATGCTTGGGAGGATGGAGGGACGGCGCAGGAGAGGAAGGCCCTCTATGAGTTGGATTGATTCAGTGACTGGGATAATTGGGATGGGAGTGTCAGAGACAGTGCGATTGGCACAGGACAGAGCGGAGTTTAGGGCTGTTGTACATAGGGTCGCTATGAGTCGCAGGCGACTCGACGGCACATAACAACAACAACAACAGTAGATCAATTTAATACAGTGGTAGGATACAAGATCAATGTTAAAAAAAAATTAAAAAAATTAAAAATCAGTGGGATTTCTCTACAGTAACAAAGGAGACACAGAAAAGGAAACTAAGAAAGCAATACCATTTGCAATAGCCAACCACAATTTGAGATATATGGGAGTAAATCTAACTAGAGACACAAAAGACCTTTATAAAGAAAACTACAAAACACTACAATAAGAAATAATAAGAGGCCTAAATAAATGGAACATGTTTTCTGTTCATGGATAGGAAGACAATATAATGAAAATGGCAATCCTACCAAAAGCAATCTACCTGTTCAATGCAATCTCAATATAGATACCAAATTTCTTTTTCAAAGATATAGAAACAGCAATTGGCAAGTTTATTTGAAAAGAAAAGAGACATCAGATAAGCACTTCTGAAAAACAAAAATGAAGGAGAAGGCATAGCACTCTGTTCTCAAAGCCTACAAAATAACTGTAATAACCAAAACAGCACGGTAAAGGAACAGAATGGAGAACACAGAATTGGACCCATCTACCTACTGGTGTTTGACAAGAAAATAAAGCCTATTAAATGGGAAAATGACAACTTCAACAAATGATGATAGTAAACTGGACTTTTACCTGCAGAAGCCTAACACAGGATCTACAGCTCACATCATACACAAAAAAGATGGACCAGGGACTTAGGCATAAAGCTCAAAACCCTAAGAGACAAAATGGGACCAAAATTAGAAAGCCTAGCCTATGGTATAAAGAAGCTGGCAAATACAGCCAGAAATGCACAACCAGATTAGAATAAAATTGGCAAATGGGACCGCCTCAAGATTAAGTCCCTGTGTGTATCAAAATTTTCTCCAACAGGGTGAAAAGAAAAAAAAGTCCTACTGTCTGGGAAAAAAACATTTGGCGATGCCATCTCAGACAAGGGTCTCATAATGTTTATAGATTCCTACAGGGCCTCCACAAGAAAAGAACTCAATCACAAAATGAGCAAAGAAATGGAAAGTCTTTTCAGAGAGAAAGACTTTTGGATGGCCAACAGACACATGAAATATTTTTAAGCTTTAAGTTAAAAAACTATGAAATGGAAGCATATTGTTCAAATTGAATTATATCAATTCCACCAAGTATATTACTAACTCTGGAGACTAAGGTGCGTCTTGTACAGGCCATGGTCTTTGCAATCACTTGTGTCATGTGTCAGAGAGCTGGACAATGTCCAGGGAGGATAGGAGGATTGATGCTTTTGAGCTTTGGTGTTGGAGAAGAGTGTTGAGGGTACCATGGACTGCTAAGAAAACAAACAGATTCATCCTGAAGAGGGTTAAACCGGGCTGCTCCTTGGAGGCAAGGATTCTGAGACTTCGTCTGACATACTTTAGTCATGTTGTAAGGAGGGACCGGTCCTTGGAGAGGGACATCATGCTTGGGAGGGTGAAGGGCAGGCGCAGGAGGGGAAGGCCCTCTGGGAGGTGGATTAATTCGGTGACTGGGGCAATCGGGATGAGTGTGTCAGAGACAATGACATTGGCACAGGACAGAGTAGAGTTTAGAGCTGTTGTGCATAGGGTCACTATGAGTTGCAAGCAACTCGACGGCACATAACAACAACAACTAAAACCTAAATACTCAGTTTTCAGGTAATCGTTAAGTGAAAAATCATCTAAAAATGCTTTACGATAATAATACAGAATTCATATCTATTTATAGTTGTTATGTATCATCAAGTCAGAAACAACTCTGACCGTTACAGCATGTTTTCAGAGGCTGCAAATCACATTGGACGAGATTGCCTTTCTCCCATGGTGTATCAGCTGATGAATTTGAACCATGCCTGTGGTGTGGTTTGGTAGCATAATTCCTTACCACTAAGCCACTGTTCTGTTGTTGTTGTGTGCCATCAAGTCAAAATCGACCCATAGCTGATTCACCGACAGGTTTTCAGAAATAGTTTAATCATTTGAGAAGATATTGCCTGTTCTTTTACCATGAAGCAGCTGTTGGGGATTCTAATCACTTGTTTTTGGGATTGCAGTGCAGCATATTCATAGTTTTAACAATTTTTAAAACAGAAAATAAAAAAATAAATAATATAACCTTATGGTATAGCAGGAATTTAGTTTATCAGACTATGCTGTTGTTACGTGTCATCATGTTACCTGTGATTCATAGTTTCCCTATGTACAACAGCTCTGAACACTGCCCTATCCTGAACCAGTCTCACTGATTCCAACACACCTACCCAATTACCCCAGTTACTGTGTCAGTGCATCTCAACTGGGGTCTTCCTCTTCAGCATTGTCCCTCCACCTTTCCAAGTATGATGTCCTTTAAGGACTGGTGCCTCCTGGCCACCTGCCCAAAGTATGTGAAACAGAGATTCAAAATCCTAGCCTCCAACGAGAAAGCTGGTTTTACTCTCTTCAAAACGGAACCGTTTGTCCTCTTGGTGGTCCTTGGTATACTCCTCTAAGGCATCGACTCTTCTTCTGTCATTCTTAGTTGTTGTCCATCTCTCTGTGGCATAGCAAGTAATTGTGAAGATCATGGTCTGGATCACTTGCACCTTAGTCCCCAGACTGGTATCATTACTCGTTAGCATGTTAGAGAGGTCCCTTAATGCAATTCATCATTTGCTTTCCTGATTGCTGGTGACAAGAGTGTTAACTGTGGAACCGAGTAAGCCAGGGTTATATTATATATCAGAGAACTCTGGTGGCCTAGTGGTAAGAACCTATGCTTAAATACTAAAGGCACATGGTTCAAATCTACCAATTGCTCCACCGGAGAAAGATGGGCAATCTCCCCCCTTACAATTTACTGTCTCTGAAAAACAGCTAGAGGGTCAAGTATGAGTTGGTTCCAACTCAAAAGCACATGACAACAACAAAAACAACATAACTTTACAATGAGAAAATATAGAGGTCAAAGAGTGGGAACACATACATAGCTTGCCAAAATAGAAAATTTTACTATATTTTTTTAACCATGGAAACTTATTTAAAATCTTCGAAGATCATGCCTATTTACCAAATCCTAAAACATAGAAACACTAGTATGATGGGGAGAAAGAATGCTTTATTCGTCACAATCTTTTAGCCTTCCCTTTCCTGTAAAATGATTTTTCTTTTCTTGGGCATGTGAACAAACATGGATCTCTTTAAATCAGTTGATTAGAGAGCTATCTTCCAAATTTCCTGGCACAGACTGAGTTGTATGCCCAGGGCTACATCTTTTAGGAGAAACTAGTCAATTGGTGGCCCATCGATTCCTGGAGCCTTATTTTTTTGTCAATGTCTTCTATACAGCTTAAAAATCTTAATAATTTCTTCAGTCAACTAATTTTTTTTTTTTTTTTTATTTTTTGGTACATTGACTCAGGAAATCAAAAGACGAATTGCATTGGGAAAGTCAGCTGTGAGGGACCTCTCAAGAGTACTGAAGAGCAATGTCAGGCTGAAGTCCGAGGTGCGCCTGATCCAGGCTATAGTCTTCGCAATTACCTGCTATGCATCGGAGAGTTGGACAATGAATAGGGATAATAGAAAGAGAATTGATGCCTTTGAGCTGTGGTGCTGGAGAAGAGTTTAGACCATGGACTGCTAGGAGAACAAACAGGTTTCTCCTGGAGAGGGTGAAACCGGGCTGCTCCTTGGAGTCAAGGATTCTGAAGTTTCATCTGACATACTTTAGGCATGTTGCAAGGAGGGACTGGTCCTTGGAGAGGGACATCATGTTTGGGAGAGTGGGGGGATGGCGCAGGAGAGGAAGACCCTCGATGAGATGGATTGATTCTGTGAGTGGAGTGGTGGGAATGAGTGTGTTTGAGACAGGGAGTTTGGCACAGGATAGAATGGCATTTAGGGCTCTTGTACATAGGGTCGCTATGAGTCGCAACAACAACAACAACACATTGACTCAGTATATTCCCTCCATCTTCTTCTGATGCTTTCTGGATCATTCAAGATTTTTCCCATAGTGACTCTCAGTATTAAAACTCAAGGCTTGAATTTAAGTTCTTTCATCTTGAAAACTGTCGACTCCATTATTTCTTTTTTATTCTCCAACTCCAGCTCTTTGCACATTCCAATACTTTGCAACAAGTATTATATGGCATAATACACATATAATGTTTTCAACATGCATAGTATATAATAGCATGGCTGACTTCCTAATGAGCAAATAATATAACACATCTCTTGTTTGATACAGAAATATGAATCAAGTAAATGGAAGATTTCATCAATTTTACAAGCGTAAAATCGTATTTTAAGATGTCTGTTCTACTAAAAATATATTTAAAAATGTATTTTTGTTTAAAAAACAAAAACGTTTACCTCTAAGCCAATTCGTAGCCACAAGGGATTATATGACAAAAGCCAGTTTAGGATTTTCTGCCGTTCTCCTGAAAGAGATGTGAAAATCAATTAAGTTCAGACCACTAATCAACTAGTCAATATGGTCAGGCTTCATGGACAGAAATCAGGTAATTGGTTTTATAAATTGATATGTACCTATTTTTAACATATATATAACTAAGTATATGAGATTACAAGCAGCAAAACAAATCATTTATGTATGTGTATGTATATATTTATATATATATCCTTTTATTCTGCAGTGTTATCTAAGATTTGACTTCAAGAGTTCTGAAATCTTCTTACCCACATCTTTCCAGAGATGTCTATCTCTACGAACAATTATCCGTCTAGCTTCAATTTCAATTTCAAGTTTTTTAATAGCTTTCACCAGCTTCTCAGAAGTGAATAAACGGCAGGATGTGCGGCGTAATCTATTCAATCTGCACCGAGCGGTATAGGCTCTGAGAGACACTTCATCTTTTGTAGGTGCTCTAGGAACGCTAATTTTCTGTTGACTTTCCATTCCCAGAAGAAGAGTTGTAGCATTTACTAAGTAAAAACAAAAAGAAGGATGTTTCTGGTTAAATAATATGAATCTTTAAATGCAGTCATAAAATAAAGCCTAAGATGGTCAAAACTGAAAGCTTTACCCTGCTCCAAGTTTCCTCCTCACTGTCTTTCTCATCTCAAAATAATGACACTACTCATTCAGTCCATAAATCAATCTATCGTTGCATCTTGCTGACTTTATCTGCAAAATATTTTTTACATCTGACTACTTCTCCCCATCTTTACCACTGTTACTTAAATTCAAACATTATTCCTGATCCATATTAAAAAAAATTACCTCAAAAGTAGGTTCTGTGCTCCTGTCCTTTTATTAACTTTTTATAAGTTAATGAAAAGATAATCCTTTAAAAAAAAGTGATTTTTAAAGTAAATTACATTTTGAGGTACAATTTCAATTTTTTTAAAGTTGATTTTCCCTTAAAAAGTCTACTATATATATTGGGCTTTATTTCCTTTTAGGAATAAAGAAAAGTGATCTGAGAGGTTCACCTGTTACAAGTTTCCTTTCTATGTAGAAATCCCATATATGACTTCTCTGTAAATATAAACCAATATTTGTTTGAGCAAAGGAACAACCAGAATCTTACCATTTTAAAAAATAACCTGCACGATAGTTGGAAATTTGAGTATTTATAAGGATTTCACTTTGTGTGGAGTTGAAATTGATCCCTGTAACGTCTATGTGAGCTGACACAACCATAAATTTCCCTCTCTTCAAGGAGAAAACTTTTCAATATTTGAAGGACACCATCTTTCTCACATATAAGCCTTCTCTTTTCAAGAATATTGTGATATTTTAAACTCCTATATATTAACTGGCTTTCAGATCCTTTATAATCTTATAGATTGCCTTCACATTCTTTATTTTATTTGAAAGTATAGACCTTATCCCAAAAGTAGCTAGGTCAAACAGGACAATAAGATATATTAGTCTAGACCCACAGTTACTAATGTAGCTAAGTCTGAAATGAATTTATTAGCAGCTACTACAGTGTTAACTCTGAGTTTATGGTAAAATATAGACTATTTTCCTAAAAGAAGAAAACTACATGTACTGGTGTAAGAATGAAAGCCACAAGTAAAAAGCAAATTTTAATACTTCTAGTACAAAAATTACTGAAAATTCTTCATGCATAATCCTAAGTATTCATGCCAATGAATTAATTAAATATACCATTAATAATTAAAAATCATACATAATTAAGGAGTAAAACATGTTAAAAATTCTGTGTAAATTAAAATATTTAAGACATATATTTACCTTCAGAAAAGCTTGTTTTTACAGTGAAATCATCAGGAGTCAATATAAAATTTAGCCACCATGTGAACCCCTGTTCTTGTTTTTCCTTCCAGCGTTCATCATAAAACATATTTTTTGCAGCAAATGGCATTGGGTGTCTAGGAATATCTAAAAACATCATAAGCTTATTGGATATGATGATAATATGTCTTATATAGGAAATATATAGAAAATGGTAATTTTTACCAACAAAACCATTTGTTTTAAAAATACAACAATGCTCTCTTCCATTTGATAAAGTAATTTTGGATATGAAAGTAGAATCCATTAATGTAGTACTTCTCAATCATTTAAAAATCCTAAGTCATCATGAATTAATTTCAAGAAAAACTGTAGAATATTTAAGTGTTTAGAACATACACTTTAAAAATTCTTTAAGGGCTTTATAGAAGAACATACAAACAAACAAACAAAAAAAACTAACAAAACACCAAACTCAACAAATTCATTCTATTCAAAATAAATTTGTCATTTCCTATCAGTTTTGCAGAAAGTTCAAAATCATATACTTACTTGTTTTTAATGGTTTTATAAAGGTCAAATTGGACTGTGCTACAGGAACAAAAGATTTTTTTCTCTTGCATGTTTTTGGACCAGAAGTCTTGTGTATTACTGAATCTAAAAACAGATAAAATACCAGCTTAGCATTAAAATAATTACCTAATGTGTAGCTGATGGAGGATTTGAAATCAGGAGTTCTCCTCAATCATATTCATTTAGCAAATAGTAAGTACACCTGATTCAGGCCATGGTCTTTTCAGTCACTTGTTATATTGAAGTTGACCAATGAATAAAGATGACAGAAGGAGTAATGCCTTTAAGCTATGGTACTGAAGAGTGCTATATATGCCAGGAACTTCCAAAAGAACAAATGGCTATGTCTTGGTGAGGTGCCGCCAGACTGCTCCTTGGAGGCAAAGATGATGAAGCTTCATCTCACACAGTTTGGACATGTTGCTAGGGGAGGTTATTCTTTTGAGAGGGACATCATGCTTGGAAAGATGGAGAATTGGCAAAGGACAGGAAGACCCTCAATGAGATGGATTGACACAGTGACTACAGAAAGGCTTAAGGGTGTCAGAGATTGTGAAGACACCACAGAAATAGGACAAGTTTTTTTCAGATGTTATTCATAGGGCACTATGAGTCATACTCTACTTGATGGCATCTAACAAGTAAAACAGGCATAACATAACAATGTGAACTCAGTCATCAATAAAGCTGATACTGGAGGCTACAGACCAGAAATGAATTTATTTGTTGTCTGTATAATCTATGGTCCATATTCAGTACATTTATTGTGTGTATATATTCCAGATGCTGTGCAAGGTGCTGAGGATTCAGAATTCAAAGACATGGCTCCAGTCTTTAGGATAATTTCAGCACAATGTATGAAAGGAAGAATCTGAAAAACGAGTTCAGAGCTTATTTGAAGTTACTGGCTACGAATTTAAAGACTAATTAATTAGGAAAGTTCAAATATAGAGGCAGAGTTATATTGAGCTTGGAACTTTTCAAGCAAAGACAATAAAGAGGAGTGAATAGAGTGGGTATGATGAATTATGGAGTTCAAGCTTGGTAAAAAAGAGCAGTAGGACCATGAGGGCTGAAAAAGTAGCAGTGGTGCTAATGGATTGGAGGCTATTACAAGAGTAGAAAAGATGCTGGAATTGGGTTTCTAGAAGAAATGTCAAAATTAGGATAATTGGGAACAAGGTCTGGTTGGAATACAAAGGTCCTACTGAAAACAGCGAGTACCAGAGGAATGTCTAACTATGCTTCATTAATTATGCAAAGGCATTTGACTGTGTGGACCATAACAAACTGTGGCTAACTCTGAGAAGAATGGGAATCCCAGAACACTTGATGATGCTAATGCGAAACCTATACTTGAACCAAGAGGCACTCATCAGAACAGAGCAAGAAAACACTGCATGGTTCAAAATTGGGAAGGGCGTACCCCAGGGTTGTGTCCTGTCTCCATACCTTTTCAATCTGTATGCAGAACAGATTATCCGGGAGGCTGGGATCTAGAGGAGAAATGCGGAATTAGGATTGGTGGAAGATCTATTAAAAATTTACGTTATGCAGATGACACAACCCTGCTTGCTGAACTGAGGAGGACCTGAAGTGCTTGAAGCAGACGGTCAAGGGCTGCAGCCTTCAATATGGATTGAGGCTCAATGTCAAGAAGACAAAGATTCTCACTACTGGACCAATTGGCAGCATCAGGATAGTTGGTGAAGAGATTGAGATTGTTCACAGCTTTAGTCAACTTGGCTCCACAATAAACCCTCTTGACTCCAGCAGCCAGGAAATTAAAAGACATATTGCGATGGGAAAGTCTGCTGTTAGGGACCTCTTCCAAAGTACTGAAGAGCAAAGGTGTCTCTCTGGAGACCAAGATGCACCTGATACAGTCCATGGTCTTTGCAATCACTTGTTATGCATCAGAGAGTTGAACAATGACTAGAGGATAGATGCCTTTGAGCTTTGGTGTTGGAGAAGAGTATTGAGGGTACCATGGACTGCTAAGAAAACAAAAAGATTCATCCTGGAGAGGATTAAACCAGGCTGCTTCTTGGAGGCAAGGATTCTGAGGCTTCATCTGACATACTTTGGTCATGTTGTAAAGAGAGACCAGTCCTTGGAGAAGAACATCATGCTTGGGCGGGTAGAGGGCAGGCGCAGGAGGGTAAACCCTCTAGGAGATGGATTGATTCGGTGACTGGGGTAATTGGGATGAGTGTGTCAGAGACACTAAGATTGGCACAGGACAGAAGAGTTTAGGGCTGTTGTACATAGGGTCGCTATGAGTCGCAAGTGACTAGACGGCACATAACAACAACAACAACAACTGACAGAACCTTCTACCAAGGTTTTTTTATCATAAAGAGTAATGAGAGTAAAAAAGATATCATGTACCAGATTAAAAACTCTTGACACATTTCACTGGAATAAGGAAAACTATGAGTAGAAGAATCTGAAAAACAGGCTTCAAGGTGTTTAATTGTTGATTTTTTTTTAAAGGAGAAACAATAGTCTAGAAGAGGAAATGAGAAGAAAAGAGGTTCACTAATCCCCAGAAGACAGGGTCTCAACAAGAAAGAAAAAAAAATGTAACTTGAGAGGAGTGCAGCAAAGCACTATTCTGAAAGGAGAACCTGTTTTCAAAAGAGTAATAAAGTATAGGAATGTTTATAAAGGAGATGTAATAATGAAAGATAGGAAGCCAAGAGGGCACACAGGGGAGTTTTAGAGAGCTGGAAGGAAAGATGATTCAAATTAGGAAATGCTTGGAGTAAGAAATCAAAAATATAAATATGTGCTTTCCCACTATTTTAAGAAATGAAGTTAAATAACTAGCATGGCTTGCTGTCCTGCCTAGACTTGATTGTTATATGAGATAAACTAGATTAAAGGGCCACCATGGGATTAATCCTGGCTAGTTTTAAGGTAGAGAGTTGGTACATCCTTGAGTACTGGGAGAGACAGTATAGTTTTCCCCAAAGGAATGCAGAGCACTCTGAGGCCCTATCTCCATCCTAATGAAGGGCTCCGAGAAAGTTGAATGAGACTAATGGCATGGGAGCTCACAGCACACAAAGATCTCGCCTTCTTTTCAATGCTCTGGAGTCAAGCACTTTATTAAGCCTTCCAATAAAGAGCTGGACTAAAGGGAGATAAAGGCGTGGTTTCCTTGGGTGTAAAACAAGAAAGCATCAAGAAACTTGGTAATTGAGATAAATAGGACAATACAATATTTTTTAAAGTTAATAAGGGGGGGGGGAAATGTAGAAAATTGATGAAAAGTAAAATATTAAACAAGCAAATAAGGCCAAGATCACAAGTAATTCAGAATTCAGGCCCAACCTTATACTTACTTTATCCTCCACTAGCAAATTGATACAATTTGACATACTTAATCTGTGGTAGATTTACAAAACTAAGAGAAACAGGAACTATGTACTCCAAAGGTGTATATCCACTGAAGGTTTCATAAATAAGACTCACCTGGTTTCTTCTTCATTTTTAATTTCTCTCTGGTACAATTATGTTTTGAGATGGGTGTGAGGGCTTTTTTTGCTTTTTTAGCAGTTGATGTTTTAAAGTCTCCAGCAGAAAAAGGAATTCTTTTCATTTTTTGTGCTTCTGCATGTTCGGTAACTGCCGCTTTCTCATTTACATTTTCCATGTTTCTGGTACTCTTTCTTTTACGAGCAACGAGAGTTGTCTTCAAGGAAGATGGAGTTATTTCATTTTGATGATCCTTAAATTTATTTACAGTCGGATCTATAACTGGAAGTCCCAAATGGAAAGGTTCTTTCTCCTTTGGATTATCTTCAATTCCTTTTTCAATTTCACCTATTGCATTGTCGAGACACCTTTTTGCCTTTGGTTTATCACTTTCAGTTTGCTGCCCTCTAGCAGAACTGGGCTTCATTTTAGTAACAGTGGCAGAAAGTATTGGGCGTCTCTTAGCTTGTTTATTGCAGTTGTACCTAGAAATATCTTGAACTGTAGAAAATGTAGGATGATTTTGTTTCGTAAAATTGCAGTCATTTGACTTTATTTCCATCACCTTGGGTTGTTCAAGGATAGCTTTGGGAGATTCTGAACTCTGATATCTATGAGTACATTTTAAACCTTTATTTTTTCTCCAGACTTCAGGGGGTTGTGAGGCGTGACAGTTTTCATTTGATAATGTTGATAATTTACATCCTTGCTGAGATGTATATTTATACACCATGCTATCTTTCCCAAATTGATCTGGTGATAAAATGGGCTTAACTGACTCTGATGTTAGATCTTGCCTGAGTCCATAATTATCATTTACAAAAGATTCTGGACTTAAAGTAGTTTGATAAATTGCATGTACAGTTTTTGATTCTAAATGCATAGGCTTTGTATTGTTTTTCATAAATTTATCTAATAATACACATGTGGCTAATTCTACTTCATTATTACCTATCTGACTGTTCTCTAAAAAAGAGTCTGGACTTAGAAAATTCCCTTTGCTTTGTGTAATATTTAAACTTGAAGAACTGCTCGGTGTAAGAACAAGTCTATTATTCTCTTCAACTTGGTCCTTAATAATACTGATGGAGTTAAAGGATGTTCCAGTTATTCCTTGGTCATTAAAATGAAAATCTTTTGAAATGGTGGAATTATCTACTTGTAACAATTCCACATTTTCAGACGAGTGAACAGATGAGTAGGTAGTAGATCGTCGCAGAGATATTGATGAGCAAGTTTCACCATGGCAGTCTTGCAAAGAGGGGCTAATTGGTGAAATAGATATTATATTTTCTTCAAGGATTAAAGAATTGTTTTCTGTTGAGGAACAGACTTCCGTCATAGTCAAATTTTCACAAGCTTGTAGTGGGCTCCTGACAGTATCAACTTTTCGAGAAACACTAAATGTTTTATTAACATTCCGACTACTCAAAATCTTTGTGTTATGACCTGAAGCAGATGAAGCAGTCTTCTTATTAATGGCGTTCCAAAGACTTCTCTGCAAAATTAAGCAAAATACACCAAATAAGTAGACAGCTATTGAACATAATCATTAAATAAGCAATATAAAGCAGTTTGCTCACTTGATGGTTATTATAAAAATAATTCTGTCATAAAAAGCAATGTATATGAACTTTATGAACTCTGTATGTAAACCAGTATAAAATAAAAATTTCAAAAAAGGGAAAAAATTTTGTCAGAATATTAACATTTTCTTAGAGGAAATACAAAGTGATTAAGTGATTACCTTTTTCTTTTTCTGTTCTTCTGCATTTCCTAGTAATATAGCTTGGTGTTTTAAAATATCATTTACAAGAAATGTGACAATCTCTCTCACTCGGCCTTCTTTGAGCGGTGTCCAGTTAACAGAAGTCACAAGTTTTCCTTTGGGCTATAATCCAAATAAATAAATAATTAATTAGTATCTTTAAAAGTAAAGTAGCTCTGGTTAGTACATATAATAGTGCATTATGTGTGGTGCTACTAACCAAAAGGTCAACTAGTCTAATCCATTAGGTACTCCATCGGAGAAAGACGAACAGTTTCCTCCCATAAAGATTTACAATATTAGAAACCTGATGTCCTTGTGAATTGAAATCAACTTCAAGGCAGTGGGTGGCTTGTTTATGGTATTTTTTAATGACAACAGTCGTGGATAAGAACTCAACCACGTTACATAAAAACTTAGAATGCAGTAGGGAATTAATTGCTAGTTACCAACAATCTATGCATTTATAACATTTGTTCAATAAGTATATTTAAATTTATTATAAGGAAAAAGTTACTACAAATAGTAAAGTTCACAATAACATTATACTAAAACTTAATTGAATACAAAGGGGAAAAAATAACCTCCCAATATTTTATTGTAACTAAGTGTTCTCATCGCCACTATACAAACACAAGAAGATGATTACATCATTATATAACTACCAAATTTATATCATTATATCACTGTCAAATCACTGAGAAGCATGGTCCAGGCATGCCACATAGTAACCTTTATTATCAACAGCCAGCATTACTTTTTTCTACTTACAGATAGATTTGACTATTGACTATTAAAAATATAAAATGTTCATAATGAGATAGTGGATAAGTGAAGAGTAAGTACAATGACTCTGAATTATAAAGATTTCTTAAAAACATATACAGCGCACACCAACCTCCAGTCAGATATGGACCCAAGTAGGGAGCAAGCCTGGAGGCTACTCTGTCCTCAGCAGTACTGAGCAGAGGGTGGGAAGCCAGCCCAATTTCCAGTCAGGTACCAAGCTCTCTGGCCAGGTATGGACCCACGCAGGGAGTGGGCCTGGATGCCTCTCTCTGTTCTTGGCAGTAGTGCACAGAGGGCAGGAAGCTATGCTTTCACCTGCTTCCTGTGGTTACATGTTTCCTGTGACTCCAGCAGCAATTTGGAGAGGGCCTGGAGCCTACCATGTGACCACTGAACAGCAGTGATCAGAAAGTGGGCTGAGAAGCCCCACTCTCATGGACTTCTACTCTAGGTACTTCTAGCCCTCAACTTTTGCAGTAAGGAGAGTGTCTGGAAGCTACACCACCCCACCAAGACTTAGCCTTGCAGGTGACCCATGCCCCTTATTCCCTGAACTGAGCAGCAGACAACTTAAAACTCTGCAAAAAAACTGAAGTCAGTCGTCACCCCAAAAAAGCCATGAAGACATTACTTAGTGGATCTACTGGAGGAGAAAAGACTGACAGAACTTTCTGCTATTGAATTTTAAAGAACACATGATCAATGATCATTGTTCAAATGGACAATAATCAAATATTTTTGCTGGATGAAAGAAAAAATGGGAAGATACAAAAAAAATCTCTAGAAGAACTTAAAAAGAAACACAAGACAAAGCAGATTAAACAAAGGAAACACTAGGAATCATAGAAAAACAAGCAGTAATCCAGAATAATAAGACCAACATTTCAGAAGCTGTCAACACACTGGAGGGGCAGATGAACAGAAATGACTGGATGGAATACAGCACCAATGAAACAGACTATAGAGCTCAATACTGATCAGCTAGAGAAAAAAGCAGGGGTGCAGAGAGTGAAGAAAGCCTAAAAATAACGTGAGACAATAGCAAGGGAAATAACATATGTGTAATTGGAACTCCAGACAGAATAAGCAAAAATAAATTAACTAAAAATAATCATAGAAGAGTTATTAGAAGAAAATGTTCCAGGTATCATGAAAAATTAGAGAATATACATCCAAGAAGCTGAATGAACTACAAATAGAATAGATTCCAAAAGAAAAGTAATAAGAGGTATTATAGTCAAATTCACCAGAATCAAAAACAAGGAGAGAATTCTAAAAGCAGCCAGAGAAAAACAAGGAGCGCCACATAAATGAGAGCAAATGAGATTAAACTCTAATTTCTCCACAGAAACTACGGGAGCAAGAAGACAATGGAAAGGCTTGTACCAAATACTCAAAGAATACAACGGCAACTAAGAGCACTGTACCCAGCAAAACTGTCCGTCACTTACAACTGAGAGATCAGAACATTCTCAAAAAAGCAGAAACTAAGGGAGTTCATGAAAATTACACCAATGGTGCAAAATACTAAAGGACATGTTCCCACAGAAAAGTGTCAGGATCAAAGTAACCAGCAAGAACAAAAGAAACAAACAAAAAAACCAAAATTATAGCAATAAAACCTTGCCTCACAATAACTACATTGAATGTGAACAGTTTAAATCAAGTGCAGAGAAATATAGTAGCAGATTGGATAAAGAATAAAGCCTATCAATGTGTTGTCTACCAGAGACACATAAGACTGAAAAATCAAAGGATGGAAAAAATATACCAAGCAAATGGCAATCAAACAAAGCAAGAATAGTAATATTAATCCATGATAAAATAGACTTCAAGGAAAAAACCATCACAAATGACAAGGAAGGACACTATGTAATGCTTAAAGGTCAATAGAACAAGAGGGCAAAATGACAATAAATATCTAAGCACCAAATGATAAAACTGCAAAATAAACAAACTAACATTATCAGAATTGCAAAAACTAATAGACATTCCACCTTCAAGGAGAGCTAGGACAATTAGAAGCTCAACAAGATGTAGAAGAACTAAACTATAATCAGTTTTATTTCAAAGATATATACAGAGTTGTTGCACAACACTAAGTCACAACTGACTCATAGCTGACCTTCCATTAAGTTTCAAGAAGCTTTTTATCACACAAAAAAAGACTGCTTAGTGCAGAGTGGAGACCAAAAAGATAGTTTGAAGATTTGACCAAGAAAGTTGAACCGTTCCAAGATATAACCTTTGAGATTCCACCACTTAGTTAGTAAAAACAATACCTCTCCAAGTGAAATCTCTTTGGCATCTTGCCAAGCATAGCTTTAGATCTCAAAAAATTCTTTTGAGGTAAACTATCCACATCCCATCCTGAGTCAGAAAATCAAGAATCTGAACCCACCCAAAGATGTGGTGTCCAGAACCGTGATAGGACGTCTGAATTCCAGAGCCCTCTTCTCAGTGTCTCTCACCACATACTTAATTCATCAGAAAGAGAAGAACTCCAAAGGCTCCACGAATGTTTTTATTCATGGCTACAGCCAGTGAAACACAGCAAGGAGGAAATGATTTCCAAATTGGTGATAGAGCAGTTTTACATAATGCATGAGTATTCCACAAACAACTCCACCTTGCGAGAATTACAGTGTTCAAGCAGGGGAAACCTAGACAAGTTTTATGTTGCTGTTATGTGCTATCCAGTTGCTTGCAACTTATAGCCACCCTCTGTACAAGAGCCCTAAACCATCCCCTATCCTGTGCTAACCTCACTGTCTCTGACACACCTACTCCCATTACCCCAATCAATGAATCAATCTATCTCATCAAAAGTCTTCCTCTCCTGCACTATCCCTCCACCCTCTCAAACATGATATCCCTCTCCAAAGACTGATCCCTCCTTGCAACATGCCCAAAGTATGTCAGATGAAGCGTTAGTATCCTTGTCTCCAAGGAGCAGCCCAGTTTCACCCTCTCTAGGACAATTCTCTTTGTTGTCCTAGCAGTCCATGGTCTATTTAACACTGTTCTCCAGCACCACAGCTCACAGCATCAATTCTCTATAATCCCTAGTCACTGTCCAGCTCTCTGACACATAGCACACAACTGCGATGACTATGGTCTAGATCAGGTACACCTTAGTCTTCAGCCAGATGTACTCTGGAGAGGTCCCTGAGAGCTGGCTTTCCCAATGCAATTAGTCTCTTGATTTCCTGGCTGCTGGTACCAAGAGTGATGACTGTGGAACCAAGCAAACTAAAACTGTTAACAATATCAATCTCTTCACCATCTATCCAGATGCTGCCAGTTGGCCCAGTGGTGAGCTTTGTTTTATTGATTTTGAGCTTCAATCCATATTGAAGGCCTTGACCTTCTGCAGCAAGTGCTTTAGGTCCTCCTCAGTTTCAGAAAGCAGGGTTGTGTCATCTGAATAACGCAGGTTGTTCATGACTCTTCCACCAATGCTGATGCCACATTCCTCCTCCTACAGCCCAGCCTCCCAGATGATCTGTTCTGCCTACAGATTGAAAAGGTATGGAGACAGAATACATCCCTGGCAGACACCCTTCCCAATTTTGAACCATACAGTGTATCCCTGCTCTGTTCTGTCGACTGCCTCTTGGTTCAAATATAGGTTTTGCAGAAGCACAATCAAATGTTCTGGGATTCCCATCCTGGCAGAAAGCAGAGAGTACCAGAGGAATGTCTATCTGTGTTTCATTGACTATGCAAAGGCTTTTGACTGTGTGGATCACAACAAACTGTGGTTGACTGAAAAGAGACGTTTACAGAAGACCTAAATACTGATTGCCTGGAGCCAACTATGTCTGAGTCTAGATCTGGAACAAAAAGCCCTCTTTCCTAGGTATATTAAAAAGATCATATTTCACTTCTATAAAAAAATTGTTACCTGGGAACACAAAAGGAAAAAAATATGAGGATGCTCCTCCAAACTCTGAATGTCCCCACCCCCAAATAGGAGGAGAAGATAAAAGTGGCAGAAACTCGGCTTTGATAATGACACAAAAACATGACAGTCTTAACAGAGGACACGATAGAGAACCTTTACAACAGATTAGCCTGGAAGAGAATTTTTCAAGACATGAAGCAGAAACTTATTGGCAAAATGCAGAAAACAAAAAACCAAACAAACAAAATATGCAGGGCTAGGTCCCTCAGGTGGCACTGTGATGGGAAAGCCTGCTGTTAGGGACCTCTCCAAAGTACTGAAGAGCGATGGTGTCACTCTGGAGACTAAGGTGTGCCTGATACATGCCATCATCTCTGCAATCACTTGTTATGTGTCAGAGAGCTAGACAATGACTAGGGAGGATAAA